TATCGTCTCATGAAGTATCACATCAGTCCTGAATTTGCTTTGCAAAGAAAAAACTGAATAACTTCTGGCTGATGCTTTAGAAGAGGAGAAAAACAACTTCATGGGCATTATTATTAACATGCATCTACTGTACTCATATTTTAAATGTTTGTAATTTTAGAAATTCTTAAAGAAGATTTCAGTGGGTTGGAGCCTAAGGTCTCTGAGCACAGCAGATCTTCCTTACCTCGTGTTTCTCACTGCAGCCTGCTGTGCTCCTGAAATGCAACGGGGGGGGGGGGGGTACTCCCAAGCAGAAGGAACGAGAACCCCCACATATACCAACAGAGGTACCCATCCATTTATAAAAGACATGGGATGTACACTTACTCAGATCTACTCAGGTCCCATTTTATTCAATGTTTCATACTTCCAGGAAAGTGTTCATAGGACTGGTGCCTTAAGAATCCTACCCATCACAAATACATTTAAAATAAAACTTTTAAAAATGCAAGATAAAAATCTTGCTGGAAGAAAGATGTAATAAAACTGAAAAGAACTGCTGTATTTTTCAAATGCAATTAATAAAAATATTATAAAAATAACACTCAGAAAATTTTGCATAAAATAATCAGCACAAACAAAAACAAAAGAAAGCAATTTGTTTTGGGGGGGGCTGAAACATAGCAAAAATGGTGGGAACGAAATTAAACCTGGCTGCAGTCACACACACTAAATAATCCACTTTCAATCCACTTTCAGTGCACTTTCCAACTGGATTTTCCTGTGTGAACTGGCAAAATCCAATTGGGAAGTACATTGAAAGTGGATTGAAAGTGGATTATTTAGTGTGTGTGACTGCAGCCTGTGTGTGTTGTTTCCCCCAGTCTACACATTATCAATAATAATAATTTTATAGCACTTACTTCATAGGATTATTATTGAAATGATAAAATGGGGCCTTGAACTCGTTAAAGTGAGGCCAAGGTATCACCATAATGACACAAAATCTTTTATCACTGTGCAAGCAACAGAAAGCAACACTTCCTATTCTTATGTTTCAAAATATATTGATTCTAAAACGCACACACACACAAGCTTGCTTGAGTTCTCGGCATTATCAGCTGCTGACAGAGCAACATAGGGCTTCTCATTGCTGGTGATCACAGCCAGGGCCTGTACATGTGGAAGATTTCCCTCAGTCCATCCTGCATGGAACCCTTGGCAAACAGCTTCATTATGAAACTCAAAGACTCTCTTCCTCATCAGAATCCCAGAGTAAGGTAACTGTGCTTGCACAGAGTGAATGAAGCACATATAGTTACAATTTGGGGTTGCCAAGTGCGATCTTCGCCGCAGCGGAAGACTCCATAGAGGGGAAAACCATAGAGTTTTCCCTTGGATGACCGTGGCCCCGCCCCCAGCGTGCCCGGCATGGTCGCGTCACTTCCAGGTGATGTGCACGTCGGGGTGGGGTTCCCCCCAGGGCCCGATCCGCCGGCGGTGGGGAACGGGCCTCTGGGGCAGGGGTTTCCCCGCCCCCCGGGGGGACTTGGCAAGCCTATTACAATTCCATTTTTATTCTGACATTTCAACAAAGTGATATTTTTAACCACAGTTATATTTGGAATAGTAGCCTCTCACTGGAATCTGTATAGCAAGGGAATGAATTTGTTGTGTATTGTGTTACTTGTAAGTGCAGAATGCCTGAGCTTCAGCCACAAGCTCCATTGACTCTTGGTATCCTGAAATCTGCAACAGGATTGGTCAGTGTCGGGAGACAGACCAATCAGGACAGTAGTTCACATTTGGCGGGAACAATTCCTATTGGTTCCAAGCACTCATTATTGATTGGATATTACTGTTCTAGGGTGTGTGGTTTTCCTTGGTACAAATTGTATACAGTTGGGTCATTCTGTAAGTTTGCTGCTGTGTTCTGAGCTGAATAAACAAATCACTTTTGAAAAGAGCTGCCTCAAGTCCAGTACAAAATAGCAAACAGCTTCATTATGAAACTCAAAGACACTCTTCCTCATCAGAATCCCAGAGGAAGGTAACTGTGCTCACACAGGGTGAATGAAGCACATATAGTTACAATTCCATTTTTATTCTGACATTTCAACAGTGATATTTTTAACCACAGTTATATTTGGAATAGTAGCCTCTCACTGGAATCTGTATAGCAAGGGAATGAATTCTGATGAAAACTGTTAGCAGCAATTTCAAGTCTGAAGATCTGCCAGAAATTTTTTTGGTCCCAGTGCTGCGCAAACACCAAATGAATGTGTTTTTTTTCTTTAAAAAGGCAACAACATAGCAAGATGATTTCTAATATACTTGCTACTGGTGAAAAGGCCAGTATCTTGTGTACATCTTGGCAGCTCTGTGGAAAACTCTTGTCACTCTCTTCATAAATATGTACCAAATGGAAATACGATGGGAGAATTTAATAGCTAGTGGGATAACATGCCAGCTTGTTTTCTCCTCAGTGATTAAACTATTTCCTCACATAAGATTTACACCTCTAGCTTGAGGAGAGAATGGCAAAGGCTCTTCCAAATACTTGCACTTTAAAATAGATTATGTGGTTTAAATAAAATGCAAGCATTTAAAAAGTAGTGGCCATAGATTCCAGCCAAAGTGGCCAAGATCCAGCTAACTTAGTACTAGTGATCAAGTCCCAGCTGAACAATAGAGAGCCAATGTGGTATAAAGGTACGTCTTTAACTAGGGTTGTGGTCACACGAACGAAAAAATCCACTTTCAGTGCACTTTCCAACTGGACTTTTACTGTGTGAACTTGCAAAATCAATTTGGAAAGTCATTTGAAAGTGGATTATGTAGTGTGTGTGACCACAGCCCATATGGTTATACAAGACCTACATCCAAATCCCCACTCAGCCAGGAATCTCACCTTGGACTAATAACTCTTTCTCACAACCTAGCCTATTGTACAGGTGTGAAGATGAAATGGATAAAGGGGGAACTATGTATGGTACACTGAGCTATCTGGAGGAAAGGCCGGATAAAAATGTAATACACAGAGAGGATTTTAGTTAGTTGCTATTGTTTAACTGATTTCAATTGGACTTACTTACAACTAGCTTTAGCTACATTGGAGCTATGCCTAGATCAGAAAATACAGAATACTGAGGCTCAAGTTCCTCAGAAGGAGCATAGAATCTTGACTAAATGAAATCAGTTAGTTGCTGTCACCACATCATTTCAAATTAAAGAAGCCCATATTATAGGAAAGTTCACTGTTGCTGGGCTGTCTTGAACCAATCAGATTCAGGGTGACGGGTATAATATAACAAGGCTCCTGATCATGGCAGTTTCAGAGTGCATTGACCCTCCTTCCTTCCCGTCATGGCTGTGCTAGGTTTAGCTGGTGGCCTTGGGGCTGCACAGGAATTTTTGGGACTCCACTAAGTTGCCCTGAAGGAATCACCTTGTTTTGCCTGTTTTGCTCTGCTGTGGAAGGTGAAACTTAGCAATATAAGTCTGGCTTTTGTTGGTAAGGCATAGGCAAGGAGCCTGAGGGAAGATGTGACCAATCCTATCTCAGTGTTGTTGAGCATCATCACTTGAACTCACACCATCACCAGCGCAGTGGAACAGTGTCAATGAAAAGCATATCTCAGCATAGGTTTGATGTGCTAGCAAGGAAAAGCAATTCATGGTGATGGTACCAAGCCAAGTGAGTTTGCTCAAATTTTAGCAAACCTGTTGGGAAACTTTCAGAGTCCACACTAATAATCAAAAATTACAATGGATGTTTTAGCAATTCATTTTTAAAGTTTGAATAAACCTTAGCTTAAGTCAAACACATGTATGGCATCTTTATCTGGGGTGTGTGGTAGCAAATGAGAAATGAGAAAGCCAGTGAATTCTCATGCCATTTTTTTAAATTATATATATAATATACACACACACACACACATTTTTGGGAAAATACATTAGAATGATGGGTTATTAAAAATAAGAAAAACATTCACAGAGCAGAGCTAAACTGGATTCATGGACTATGTGACTACATATCAATTTGTACAGATAGATAAAATGAGAACAATACTTTGTAACCACCAGAAGGTGCAGTTTAGTCATATCCTGTCAGCCTATGCCATAAAATGATCCCATTTTGCAGAGAAAGCCTCTAGTTTAACTTGATTCTGAAATTCTTTCATTTGGTCAGTTAATTCATCCACTTTTATGCAACCTCTCTCAAAACATAGGCCTCTAATCCTGTTGAATGGCCTTTATAAGGCTCAAGTCATAAAGATTCAGCCTTTAAGAAAGTAATGCTATTGCGATTGAGAAATGGAATTATCTTTTGTTGACCTGTAATAAAGAACATTATGAATGATTTACAAAGAAGAGCTTTAAAAATGAATGTAGTCATTTTAGGCACATTTTAGAAACAATCGCTTTCCCAGAAATACTGCTTAGAATCATTCACATACAAAACAGAGCTGACAAAAAGATGCAAGCACCAGCTGTTAAGACGAGGACAGCTAGTCAAGAATGAACCTGAGCTAGTACTCAGCCCTACATCCTGTTTCCACCACTAGAGTTCAGCTTAGAGAACGTGCAAAGTAATACAAACAGCACATCAGGGACGGACTGTGCTTCCGTCTCTGATGACTGTACTCAGCCCACATACATCTGAGAATACAAGACAAAACCTTTTTTTTTAAACTTAAAAGAAATCCAGTCTACACACAAACAAATCTAACTGCATTACATTAAATGTTTGAGGAGAAGTTTAGGGGGGGGGGGGAAGCACGTGGCTGAGTTTCAAATTTCCTTCACCCTAAATAATACGTAGTATTGATCAGACTTCTAAGTATCCTATTTACCTGAAAGGAATATGAAGGGTTTTTTTTCACCCATGTGCAATCAAGAAAAACAGGAGTCTAAAATTCACATACAAGTTACAGTTATGGATTGGACTTTAAGTTAGAGGGAGATTAGAGAAAGTTTTGGTCTCATTTACCTGTGTGTATTTTTATCTCACTCACCGTAATTTCTTGTTCATAGGTCCAAACTCCACATGCCAGTTCAACACAGAATATCACAAGCAAACTTCCAAAATACTGAAGAACACAAGAGAATGTTACATTTATTTCTGAAAGAAATGAGTACCACCCCTTGAAATTATTGTTGTTGTTTTAAAAAAACATGTTTGCATATTAATTAAAACTCAAAAGTATCCCCCTGTTTTGGAAATCCAAAGTATGAGGTACTAATATTTTTTAAAAAAACAAAAACATAAAATTAAGGTTTTGATCAACTTTAAGAGTATGAAATTATAAAAGAAATATTATACTTTATTTTACATTGAGGTAATACAAATATATGAAATACTGCTCCAGGGACATGAATTGGTTTTCAAGAAATGTAGCAGAATAATAAAATGTTAATAAAGAAACAATATCAAAGAGGCCAATCTTTTGACTTCTAAAACATAAGATAGAAATTGTAATGATGTTTGCAATACAAATAAATAGAGTTCAGGCAAAGTTTGGCACACCATTCACATTGGGATAATTACATATAAATAAAGCTAGTGTTCTGCTCTGTAGCTTAAGATCAGGGAGTAAATATCAGCAATCCGAAACTGTGCGACTGAAGTCAGTGAACCTAGAAGAGGGTAACTCTGTTTAGGGCTGCACTGTACACAGAGAGAAATTGGGTTGTTACGATAAGCATTAATCTCAATAAAATCTACATACAGAAGTGTATCACGACAGCCAGTATAGTGTAGTGGTGAGAGTGCCTGGGAGCCCCGGGTTCAGATCCCCACTCTGCCAAGAAAGCTTGCTGGGTGAGCTTGGGCCCAGTCACACACTTTCAGGCTAACCTACTTCATAGGGTTGTTGTAAGGATATAATGGAGAAGAGGAGAATGAGGTAAGCCACTTGGGTCCCCACTGGGGAGGAAGTTGGGGCATAAATGAAAGAAATATGGTTCCCCTGGACCTGGCACACACTCAAAGGCACTGTTCTCCACCACCTATTTAAAAATGTTAGTTTAAAAGCACAGTCCTAGTAAGTTATTCCCTATATCAGCTCTCAGTTATATGAAGAGATTCCCACTGTCTTCTGATTCAGTCATAGTACCAGGTCACTTTAGTGGACAGTCAGACTTCACTGCATATTTCTTTCCGTAAGGCTAAATATTAATAGGGTGGATGTGTGTAAGAGTAGCAGTGCGATCCTAAACAGAGTTACAGTTTTCTAAGCCCATTGTCATCAATGGGCCTAGAAGGGCATAACTCTGTTCAGGATTGCATTGTCTGTGTATGAATGAGACAGAATGTATTACTTTGAAAGAAACCCCTTCTTACAGTATTTTATTCATTTGCATACATATGAGAACATGGGGAGAAGAGACACTGGAATCTGTTCAGATGTTATATTTTAAAAAGAACATTTATTTTGTTACCACAACTCAGCAAGAAAAATGTCAGCAAGCAAAATATCCCAAGAAAAACGAATCCTAAGCCTCATTAAAAAGAAGCAAACTTGCAAAGGAAGCTGCAGCTCCAGGTACTTTCCTCATTCAAGACCTCACTATGCTAAGCCATAGTTCTGCCTGCTCTGGTACGCACAGTATGATACTTGTCACAGCAAAATACAAATGAAGCTAATCGAGATAGGAGGGCAGATTTAGTACAACAGACTGTAACTACATGTGATGGTGGACGAGGGATTTCCAAACAGCTGCAAAGGGGTAGTCGAAGAGGCAATTTGGAGCACAGGAGGAAAGTTTGGTCTCCCAGTGTTCAAAAATAAAACCCAAACAAGCATTTGATGTGCCCTGCAAATATTTCCTATTTTCTCTGCTATGTCAAAGTTACATCGTTGCTAGAAAAATGAATGTGTCAGGTTTTGCCAACTGTTGTTATTCACTCATTTCCAGAATTTTTGTGATTGGATTTCTGGGGTGACTTTTTGCTTGATAAAAATACCAAATTTCTTGTCTCTACATTGGTTCCTTCTGCTTACTTGGTCATTGCCAGGAATTGGAAATCCCTCACAGGACCCTTGTTCAAAAAATGGCACCAGAAAATCTGGGAACAATTTTTGATGGGTAGGATTATGCATAATACGTTTTGGGAGTTCCTTTATTTGAATACTGTAGTTCCTTTATTTGAATATGACAAAATATGGAAACCAGTCTGAGAATTTCTATGTGATAAGGATGTAATTCATTTCATGCAACACAGTTTATATGTTTGGTCATTGTGATTTTCAGTTCTATAACAGATTTTTAAAAAAAATTAAATGTTTTTTAAATGTTTTAGAAGTTAACATTACTCTCTTTTAGGGGCCAAGCCTAAACCTTTCCTTTTAACTAGGTTTTTAACTAAAAGGTTTTATCTTTTTAGCTCTCTTTAGTTCTTGCTTCTAGCCTGAGGACTGTTTTATGGATATTTTTCAGCAGCTCAGTGGTTGTTTAATCCTGTTTTTTATGATCTTGAGTTGTACTTTTAACATTGTTAACTGATGGCATTTATTTATTTCTACAAACAATTTTTTAAAACTATATTCTCTGCTCTGTCACAGTTACATCATTGTTAGAAAAATGAATGTGTCCGGTTTTGCCAACTGTTGTTATTCACTCATCTCCTTTCACTATCTATGTGCAGCACAGAATCTATCATGAGGGCAGACTTCATGACCATACTTTCACACACTAAATAACACACTTTCAATTCACCTTCAATGCACTTTACAACTGGATTTTACTGTGTGAAATGGCAAAATCCACTTGCAAATGGTCGCTGTAGTGGACTGAAACGACATTATTAGCATGTGTGAAAGTGCCCATGAGAAAGTATGAGGATGGTAACCCTAATCGCAATTGAGGGCTGGTCACAGGGCCAGTAATAGTTACCTGGGGCAAAGCTTAGGTATAAGTTTTGTCTTCAGAACATCATTCCTTCTCACACGTTTTCTGCTGCCAGAGGAAGAAGGGGAAAAACTATACCCCCATATGAACACAGTCTCTCACAGTGCCATCCTAAGCAGTGTTAAGCTCTTCTAAGCCCACTGACTTCAAGGTGCTTGGAAGGGTGTAACTCTGCTTAGGGATGCACTGCTAGTCAGTTGGAACAACTAAGCACCTGTACTTTGGTATGCCTGTTTATAAAGGAATGTGTCACAGTGTAAGTACAGAAATTAACAGTGCAGCAGCTGCTCCATTAGCTTGTACAAATATTGACAGTGGACTTTGGTTATTTACTGAATGGAGACATTTCAATATATCACTCAATACCTGATGAGAATGAATAAAAAAAGAAATTGACAGATTTTTAAGCACTGATGTTTACCTATTACTAGACATAACAGAGACTGGAATCCATCACTTGTAGATCCCATGCCTTTCAGTAGGCTTTTGTTAATGAGAAAGGTTAATGCCTAATGTTTAGACAAGAAGAGAATTCCAAATTTTGTTTGTGAATCACTTTCAAGATGTGTTAATACTGTATGGCATTTCAAGTATCATGGATTCCTTCTGGGTTGGCCGATGCATTTCTTTCTAAAGATGTCAAATTATCAACAGACAATTATATAGAAATTAGATCTGTACATATATTGTCATTTGGAAGGAACCTGAAGTGAAATGATCAGTTCTTTAGTAGAGTTACCAGTTTCAAAGTGGGGCTAGGGCTCCTCCTAGAATTACAGCTGATATCTAGACTACACAGATCAGTTACTTGGGAGGAAATGGCAGCTGTGGAGGGTGGACTCTATAGCATCACATCTCCTCTGAGCTCCATCCCCTTCCCAAACTTCACTTTCCCCAGGCACCAACCCCCCCCCCAATCTCCAGGGATTCCCAAGATAGAGTAGGACCCTAAATAATGGATGATCAGCATGGTCTGGAGCTGGCCAGTATGGCCATGGATCTGTGTCCAATTCCTATCTGTCTGCAAGCAACACAACTGTGCTGTTATTTACCTGGATTTTGGAGGGATTTGTTGGGTGGTACAGTTTGGATACTTTCAGAAGAGGGGACCATGATGGATATGTGGCTCACAAAAAGGTCCTAAGAGTCCTGCTGGATGAGTGTAATGGTACATCTAGATTTCCTACATGGCCAGCCAAATGTTCCCCAAAACAGTTAAAGGGTGGCAAAGTGTCCCTGATTTTGTTCCCCAGCAGTTGGGGTGGGGTATTTCAAGGTTGTTTTCTTCCCTAGCTGCTCTGTACATGCAAATGAGGGCCAGTTTGGTGTAGTGGTTAGGAGCGTGGACTCTAATCTGGGAGAACCGGGTTTGATTCCCCACTCCTCTACATGCAGCTGTTGGTGTGACCTTGGGTTAGTCATAAGTTCTTTCAGAGCTGTTCTCTCAGGAGCAGTTCTCGAAAGAGCTCTCTCATCCTCACCTACCTCACAGGGTGTCTGTTGTGGGGAGGGGAAGGGGAAGGAGATTGTAAGCTGCTCTGAGACTCCTTCGGATAGTGAAGGGTGGGGTATAAATCCAATCTCCTCCTCCTCTTCTTCACATTTCCCTTGGCCATAATTATTAACAGTTAATGATGTATCTAAGGAACCATCAGTATATCCTAGGGCAGTCAGCTCCACATGTAAAGTGTATGCTGCATTAAGAAGTATATTACTTTGCTTGTCCTGAATCTACAACCCATCAATTTCACTGGTATCCCTAACTTCCAGTATTACAAGAGAACAAGGGAAAGTTTTCTCTATCTACTTTCTGAACGTTAGGAAACATTTTATAAGATTCTGTCCTTGAGACTGAGAGCAGAATTTCCCTATGGTAGGCCATGTTCACAAGTATGGTGGATGTTTTACTCCAGAGGGGCCAAATACAGAAATATTTTTCATCTCCATACCAACCCAAATGCTGTTACCCACATGGAAAATAATTCGTTCTACATCTTAATGGTAAGCATGACTGTTTCACACAAAGGTCATGTTTGTTAGCCATTTATCTTCTACTACCAGTACATACAAATGCCTGGACTTTATCTGCTATTATGACAAGTTTGGCTATATCTATACAACTTAATTCTATCATAAAGGATCTTAATCATTGTTAAACTATGTTATTACAGATTGCAGA